TCTCTCCAGCATGCCTTTCCTCGGGGAAGGGGGAGGGGGGAAGGGAAGGGAAGGGAAGGAAAGGAAAGGCAATCTATGTATGATTTGACAAGCACTCACCTAAATCCGGCATGGAGCATGTACATTCTCGGCACTCCCGTGTTGGCATATTTGGGAGTGGTGAAGATATTGTCTTTTTTCAGGGACACGTAGCTGATCAAGGACAAAATCAAGAGAGCCACGCTGACCATCACTAGCCCCAGAACACTTACCACTCTGACCATCTTGCAGCTTCGCATACCTAGGGTGGGAGGGGGGAGAGAGAAGAGTGGGGGGGGAGAGAAAGAGAGAGATGCCCTGGGTTGTGAGAGCTACATTGGAGATAACACACCCAGAAAGGAGGGATGGATGGAGCGGATGTGTGTGTGTGTGTGCGCTTGAATGTGTGTGTGTGTGTGTGTGTGTGTGTGTGTGTGTGTGGATATGGCTAAGAGCTAAGGAGGGGGAGGGAAAAAACACATGCAACTGAAGGATTAATGCACAGTGTACTGGCGCACAGATGCACATGAGCTCAGGCAAGTAATAATCATGATGAAATAATGCTGGTTAAGATCAGGAGTGTTCAAGAAAAAAATGGAAGACTTTTTTTTTTAGTGGCTCCAAAACAAGCTCTGCAAACTAATTGTCGGACAGCAAAATTAATCATGTAACAAACTACAGTAAACATTGCCTTTGTAGCAGGGGGAAAAATTTACGTTTGATCAATGTAGAAAAATTCCACAAGCTGACTATAAGCCATGTCATGACTGAATTGCTAAAATTACTCAGTGGATTTAAATGGATTAAGAACTACCGGAACCAACAAGTTGATTAGATGTTGGCAAAGAGCGGGTTAGGAACTTAAGGGACTTTAATATTCAGACAGCTCTTGTTTATAACATACCTAATATAAAAGTTACTGAAAAGAAGGAAGTCTGATGTTGCTATACCAGGTGATGATGGGATAGAGGTAAAGTAATTCATTGGAATTTCATCGGAATTTTTGCAAAAAATGAGGACTTGAAGATCAAAGCTGGAAAAAGAAATCTGTTACATCACCAATTGTGATGGAGTTTTTGGGGACAATACATAAAGGATTCCCTTGATATTTGGAAATTTAGAATTTATTGGACCTGAGCACCCTAATTCTACCAAAAAACCAAAACAAAACACCTCACCTTTGCTTGGAATTGTCTATATTCTCAGATCCTACTTTAATATGTCTTAAGTTCTTGGCTAGGATTTGAGTAAAGTCTCAACTAGTTTTTGTGAATCTAATTCTAGAGATCTAATATTAATTTAATATCATGTCTCCTCAAATGGTTGAGTTACAACTATTGCCAAATGGTTGCCAAGCTCAGAACTCAAACCAATAGCCTAATTTAACATCAATATTATAATATGTTGCACTACCTGGAAACAGCAGAAAAGAGAAAGAACTGAAGAAAATAACAAAATACAAAAACCTACAACTAGAAATAGAACGACTGTGGCAAAAGAAAGCAAAAGTAGTGCCAATAGTAATAGGTGCCTTGGGTGCAATCCTAAAACATTTGGAGCATCCTTTGAACACTATTGACCAAATCACTATCGGTCAATTGCAAAAGGCAGCTTTGCTTGGAACAAACATCAACATCTGCCTATCCCAGGTCATGGGAAGAATTTAACAGGTGGGCAGAAATGCCAAATCCAGTCTAAACAACTGGCTGACTGTGTGATCAGGCATAATAACAATGCAGTATGGGAATGGCAGCTTTGAAATAGCAGTAGGAGGATTGTTTTAAAATTTAAAAGAAAAAATGGATCCTGAAAGGAAGAGGAGAATGCTGCTTTCTTATGCAGGAAATTCCAGAATCCAGATAGATTGATAATGATGGATGATGGATGATGATGAAGATTGTCCAAAATAGTCCACATGAGATCCTAGAAAACTTTGGAGAGAAAGAAACTTTGGTGTCCCATTTTGACCACGTGACTGTGAGGATAGTGTGATGGTGTAGCCGTCACTTTTTCAGTGTCCTTATACCTTCAAACAGTCACTAAATGAATGGTTGTAGCCAAATTGTGGCCTACCTATAGTTTATAGCTATTGAAATTTATGACTGATTCTTACACCTAGTGGCTAAAGCAATAAACCTGTCTAACAGTAGTCAGCAGTATTAAGTATCTGGAGGTGCAGATAACTAACAATCTGAATTGGTCTCTCCACATGTCATCCTTAGTGAAGCTTGCAAACCAGTGTCTTCATTTCCTGCATTGGATGAGGAGAGCACATCTTTCTCCTTCTGTCCTGGCCACTTTTTACAGAGGCACAACGGAGAGCATTTTAACAGACTGCATCACTGGTGGCAGCAGTGCCTCAGATAGAAAGTCCATACAGAGAGTGGTAAGGACCGCTGAGAAGATTATAGGAAGCTCGCTTCCTGTTATTCAGGGTACTGCTTATAAGTGCTGTGTATTTAGAGTTCTGAGCATTGTTAAAGACCCCACACATCCACTTGATGGTCTGTTTCTGTTGCTCTCCCCTCTGGGAGGAGGTTTCAAAGCATTTCTAGCAGGACTACCAGATTCTGTAATGGCTTTGTTCCCTATGCCGTCCATTTGGTAGACTTGCAAGATATACATGTATACATCTGGACTAGACTGTGTTGTTTCTCTGTGTCATATAATATATGTGGGTACATGCATAATTTTGTATTTACTTATTTATATTTTTGACATGTTTATGTAATGTATATTGTATACCTTATATGCAATGAAATTTCATTTTAATGTTTGATGATCAGTGTACATTCAAATTGACAATAAAGATTCTATCCCCATTCCCAATTCCCATTCCATTCCACCTCATTCTATTCTGTTCTATGACAGCAGAAGCTCTGGCTGATCTCAGAGCTGTGCAAAGTTTCAAAAAGGTGTTTTGCTTCAATGATTCTTCATGTGAAACTCTTCATTGAAGGGCTTCAAGATGCAATATGTTCTACTTCTAAAAAGCAAAGTACATTGTTTTGGTTTGTGTTCTTTTGACAGCCTCCAACAGCATTTCCAGTAGTTAGAAGAAGCTTCTCTTCACTGTAGAAATATCTTGTGGATAATATTAGAGAGAGCCCTCGGGAGTGTCTTGAAATACCTCGAGAAGTCTGAACTTCAAGCAAATGAAGAGCACTTTTGTAGTATGAAGTATTTTACTGAACCAAACTGCTGAGAGAATAAACCTAATTTACCTAAATCTACCTATCCATAAACCTGGGCTGGAGTCTAATCTGGCTGAGGCAAAACCAAAATAATCAAAATGTTTTCAATGACCTCTGTAGGACAATTTGTTTCCCCAGTGCACTTTCTTGAATAAAGTTGCTGGAGTTCAAGTGAAAGTTATGAATGAATCCAATGTGGCATGTCACAAGTCAAGTAGAAAACACGAGAAGATTTGACACAGTATTTGTGGTCCCACCAAAGTAGCTTTAATTGATCCAACTCATTGCTGCTCTTCCCACAGTGCTTGCTCACCTGTAAAAGCCCACGCCTGGCCAGGCTTTCCCCTTCAAATGGAAGATTGGATGAGAGAAATCGTGGAGGGCGCCCCTTTCTTCCTATGTCATGTAATAAAGGAAATAATCTGGGCCTGGCCCAGGCATTTGCAAAACAGTCTGTTCCAAGGCCTTCTGGAATGCAAGCAATCATACTGCTGTCATACTTTTTCTGACAACCTGTAAACCGGCTTCCCAAAGTTAATTCACCGTAAGTGGCTTCCCATGTCAGACAAACTGTCTTCTCGCAGAGCTACATAAGAGCAGGACATTTCCAAGATGTTCCAATATGCTGCGCTGGTTTGAACACAGAAGGAAAAACTTTACAAGGTCATATGGACGATTGGCACAAGTTAAGAAAGTTTCCTCAGTAGCTCAGGTTTCTGTTCTCTTTGTCCCCTTTTTTTTTCTTGTTCATCCCATTTGAGGAGGGGAAGCCCCAGGACCACAGAGCTGTTGAGTCCTGCATTCCACTGTCTTGAATGCTGTCCTCCTGGGTTCTTTCAGAAACGATTCATGAAGCTTTTTATCCTTCTGGTTGTAAAATGTGATTGCAGTTACAGTGGGGTATGGGCAAGAGCAGCAGAGGTTTTGAAAGGAGAACTTTATAGCGAGTACTTAGAATGTGCCTTTAAAAAAAAAAAGGACGCATAGGCTCAGCCAATTTGATTGCTTCCCTGCTTAGCTCAGCTGGGGCATAAGAGCTGAATTACCCCTTATTTAGCCACCCCAGGGAAGATGGCTGTGGTGCTAAATTACTTATTTTATTCCATCTCCCTGGTTTCCTTTTCTTTCACCATAATGAAAGAAAGCAGAAATATTTAGGGGGGTGGGGGTGAAACCCTTCCACACGCACAATGGAATGGATCATCCAGATTTAGTCATGCTTTGGACAGGTATAGTAAAGCAATGTTCAGTAACACCAAGGCTTTTAATATGGAAATAACCAGGTAATTCAATCATGTGCACGCATGATCAAACCCCTCTAAGTTAATAGGGGCTCATTTCTTGTATGCAAACATATTGCTATATTAATAGAATGGGGGTGAAAAGTGCCAATTATATCTGATCCAGGCAACATAGAATAGATAGATAGATAGATAGATAGATAGATAGATAGATAGATAGATAGATAGATAGATA